ACAACAAGTTTTCATATGGATTGTAAGGATAAGTTTTTCCGCATAGTTTTAAAATAAAAGAAAATTTTGATTTTATTTATTTTAAAATATCCTTACAATGGCATTTGAGGAAAAATTGTTGCTTATATGATTCCATTAATAGCAAGAGTGGAAATATGAAATTGATTCTTTCATTTGTGGTAATGTCTAAATTTACCAAATAAGGAAAGATTCTCATCATCCAAAGTCTCAATTGGACCGGGACTTGGAATCATGCAAGTTGTATAGCATGATGAATGAGAACTTTCAAGTATTGGAAAATTAAGACTAATTACTTATTCACATGGATGTGTGAGTCAAGTAATGGACTAAGGGATCGAGTACATAGTCATGTGCACTGATTAAGTCCACCACAAAAGATATAAGGCTATTCGTCATAGTTTACTAAAGCTCAGTAAATATGATTATACTTACAAGCTTAAGTGTAACTCTGAGACATTGGAAAAGGTTCCAATGCATGGCAGAGCGAATAAGAAGAATCAAATTAGGCAGAAGGATAAAAGTTTCTCAAATCTGAAAAGATGGGAGAGTACTTTAGTATCAGTTTTGTGATCATCTTAATGATTAAGAAACCATATCAAAATTAGTTCTCTAAGGAAGTCTTAGTGCATTCTTATGACTAAGAAGAAGGGATCTTGAATTGTTGAAATGGTTAAATCAAGAAGATGAGTCATACTTCGTTCCAATACAAGTCTTAGAGTCATACTCCAAGATTGTAATTTGAGTGACATGTCTTAAAGAAGGTTTAAAACACTTGACAAATGTAAGAGTAAAAGTTTTCTACTCTTGTACATTTGAAATTGGTAAGTTGTGATGTTTTGGATAAAACAAAGACCAACTTAGGCCAATTGTGTGAAGTGTTTGTCTTGATTAGAATCCACACTATCTCTTGGATGTTTGACAAGGAGTCTTATAGGTCAAGAGGACAGTGGGAGTCTTAAAGGTCTTGAAAGTCTCAAGAACTAATCAAGAATGAAACCTAAAGTTCTTCACTAGCACACGACTTAAGGTTTATAACCTATCGTGTTGACATATTCTGTGCCCATTCTAGTTAAAGTTGGCTTTGCATATGAGTTCTTAGAGTTCTCAATGTGTTGCACAACAACTTGGAAGCAATGGTAGGCCCTTGAGCTGCCAGGTGGCAAGAAATTAAGATTGAGTTCATCCATATGAGTTTGGATTTGTCATTATCCTTGTCTTGTGACTATGGTTTTGACAATTCACATGGATAAGAACTCATACACCATTAAATCTAAGTGTCATAAGGTTTCTCTCCGATTCATGAAAATGATGGTGAGGAAACACTTCCACTAAGTAGATTTTAGCTAGATAGCAATTGTGATATTTGCATTCTCAAAGTCGTTAGTGGAGCGTGTGTGGTTTACCGGCACACTAACTTGGACTTGTGAGAAATGGCAAAGGTCAAAACGATCAAGACTATGATTACGGCATCCCTTTTCATAGTTCTTAAAATTGTTTTGACACACCCATGAGCTATCTAAGGGAAGGTGTATGTTTTTGATAAAGTCTTATCAAAACAATCTAGTATCAGAAATCTGAACTTTGGTAAGAAAGTCAATAAAGTATTGATTTCTAGAAGTCGAGCTTTCTGAGTACATGTCAAAGCTAGTGGGAGCATAAGTGTTATGCTAATAATCATCATGTTAGTGGGAGCATGATAATTACGATAAGTATTGCAAGCTAGCAATGTTAATTATAGAAAACAAAAGGTTTCAATTGGGAAAAAGTTGTTTTGCTATAATTAAGGGAGAGGAAATTATACTTCATCTCAAATCTATAAGCTTAGATCGTGAGGTTTTAATCATTTAGTCAAGGATATATATGAATTTCATGTTGGAATGGCTCAACATAAGGAAATTCTGTATATGGGTCCATTATTTGCGTTCTTAAATTCGATTATGATTACGGCATCCCTTTTCATAATCTGAATTATGAGAACTTGGCAAATTGAAATGGAAATGTTATAGCAAAAGACTGGTTTAGTCTTTATGTGAGACATCATGAATCGTGTCCCATATGCTTCGGATATAGGATCGATTACATGTGCTATATTCATCCTTTCTAAAATTTTCCAAATGCCTGGGGCATTAAGAAGGAAAAGGTTTAGAACTGGATATGACTAAAAGGATTAAACAATTGTCGAGGACAATCTAAGGTTTACCAAAGATTGGTTGCTCAAGGACAGTTGGAAGTATAGTGATAATTCTGGAAGGACCATATTGACATAATCTGTAAGGAGGCAACTCTTGTTCAGAAGTGATAGTCGAAATGGAATCTGGAAATGTTTCAAAGTTAGAATTTTCAATCTGTGTAAGATTAAGGAAACTTAATGCAAGAAGGATGGTTCCAAGGACTTGATCTCCTTTGGAATGCTCTGTAATGATTGTTGTTAAGTCTTTCTGACTTTGTGCATAATCATTACAAGAGGATCGATGCATATAAGTTTAGAATCTAACAGATTTCAGTAAATGACATGAATTTGGAATTCTTGCATTTGCAGTAAGGATTTGGGAGTGTGAAAAGAGAATCATTGAAGTTATGTTCATTGATCTAGTTCACAAAATAAAGATCATAGACAAACATATTATGCATACTTGGTGTATGGCATGACTATTGTTTAGAAAACATAGTGTGCATGCTTGGAGCATGGGACAACTATTGTTTTAAATTCAAGAATAATGTTGATAGCTGAAACAATATACAATGAATAATGTGTAATCATATGGTGATAAATAAAAGGAGTTTTATTTATATTCATAAGTTCTGAGACCATATTGGATTCAATTATTATTGTGTTTCACTTTGCATGTTTTGACTTCCCGAATAAACTAGGTTATTCTTCCGGAATGACTAAGTTATTCAAACCATCCACAGTCGGTCATATGTTGGAAGTAGATATGAATTAAGACTGTCATGGGTTGGCTTGTAGAGGTCTAAGTTGTTGGACAAAGGGCTACAACACTCATGAGTGCTCATAAGTTCTGAGTATTGGATTCAACCCGCGCTCATTGGAATCACTTCATGGATTTTATCACGAGTGATCATGAGACGATAATATCTTATATTCTTCAAACCTAGAGATATGAGTTGTTACTATGAGTTGGTTGTACATTGATTGCACGAAACGCATTTGGTAACTCGGTGCTATAAAACGTGTCTTTGTGTATGATTCAACAAGTAGTAGAACAAGCCATATGAGTCGAAGTTTATCCATTCCTTTTACCTTCGGGATAAAAGCGATATCTGTGGGCCCCTCGATGATTTGATGATGACAAATGGAAGTGCTCGGCCGGGCCAGGACTGATTTGATTTGTTCAATTAGTCAGTCGTCATAAATCGGAAATCGGGAAACAACTAATGGACAGAGAGAATGATTATAATCCATGTCTCAGTCCATATGATATCTAGAATGGAGGAATATATGATCCCTTATCTAATGGACAAGTCATTGACAAAGATCAGAGTTCATCTACAAGGTCAGAGTTCGACAGAAGCTTTTGAGAGCTACGATTGCAGTTGGTTCCTGAAGTCATACGCAATAATAGTTTTAGACTTATCCAAGTGGGAGACTGTTGGATTAATGTCTAAGTCCATAACTATAATTGGTAAGACTTGACCCGACCCGGCATGGTCCATTTGGGTTGCATGGCATCATGCACTTGGATAGACTATAATGAGAGAAATAAGACACTTATGGTTATTAATATATTATAAGTTCTAGTATATTAATAATAAGAATAATGAGATTATTTAATTAGTATTGATCAAGAATTAATCTAGAATTAATTAAGTGATCAAAAGAAGACTAATTAAATATATGGGTTGATTGTGTAAATCATTCATTCTTATATATGTGGGCTTGTGATCCAAGATTCCTTATGTTGGACTAAGTCCATGGGGTGACCCATGGATACTCCATGGAGGTTAAAATCCATGGAGCATAAGGAATGGGTAAAGTCATGGGTTACATGGTGTAACCCTAATAGCCACCATATAAAAGAAACCCATGGCTCAAGAAATCGGGACTAACACTATGTGTATGTATGAGGGCTAGACGATTTCATGTAGTGTTCTAATTTCTCTCTAAGTTATTCCAAGTGCTTATGGTGTTGTGTGAACCATTTGAGGTGTCACACTTGGGGCACTAAGCACTCAAGCTTCATGAAGACAAGCACTATCAAAGAGGTATGTATTCTATCTTGTTAATAAAAGAAAGTTTTTGTATGCTAGATTAGGATAATACCTTGGATGTTCATATTTGCATGTATAATAGAGAAAACATAGATCCATGGTATTTAGGGTTGCATGTACACTTAGGAGTGTTAGAATGCTCATAACCCAACAATATCTTCACTAAGGCACTGGATTCTCAAACAACTGCTTACATTATTGGAGAACTTGGAATGATTACCTTGTAATTAATTTTGCTGTTTAATTGTGCTAATGTTTGGTATTGTCTTATAAGCTGATGTACATTGTGCTGATGATGACATGCTGATGATATTTGCATACTGAGTACTTGGTTTGATCTCCCATCTTTCTCTCTTCTTCAAGTCTTCTAAACTAAAGTTGAATGATTCACTATACTAAACCATACACTGATAACAGCTTGAAACTCTTTGCCGATGGTTAGATCAAAACACCAAGATCTATCACACGAAACTATCCCCTCTTACCAATCTTACACTGATTCTGTGATTCAGCGTGACAAAACACACGCTGATGAGAGTCTAAAAATCTTTGCCGATGGTTAGATCAAAACACCAAGATCTATCACACGCAACTATCCCTTCTTACCAATCTTACACTGATTCTGTGATTCAATGTGCCAAAACACACGCTGATGAGAGTCTAAAAATCTTTGCCGATGGTTAGACCAAAACACCAAGGTTTATCACACGCAACAATCCTCTCTTTACCTTCTTCTCATTCAGTGTCTAATGATTCAGTAAGATAAACCACTCACTGATAAAGTCACAACACTCTGTGCCGATGGTTAGATAATGAAACTAGTATCTATCACACGCACCAATCTCCTTGCTAGCCTCAATTGAGAAAGTTGTACCTTGAATTGACGGAGATATACTTTTAGCATTTAATTTTTGTGACACTGATCTCAGCGCTTCCGCAAACACTGATTGACGTTTCATCTTCAGTCAACGACTCTTTTACCCAACGGCTACTTTTTATCTGACAGGTTGTTACGATACGCCGTTTTCTTTTAAAGAAGATAATCATTACCTTTTTGAAAAGCCCGTTTAATTCCATATTTAAACCTCTTCTCTCCCTATTTCAAACTTTCCTTCCACAATCTAACCTTCTTTCACCTATACTCAAAACCCTAAAACCCTAAAAACTCTCTAATGGCTGCCTCTTTGTTCACCTTCTCTTCTACTTCATGAAGGGTAATCCCTGCCCCAAACTCTCCTCCTCTCCCAATATACATCAAAGCCACCAACGTTGTGTTCAACCCTGATATTCCCGAGGTTCATCGAGGTCTTGGACTCGATGATTTTGCTAATTTCTTAGCCTCTTGCCGCCTTCGATACGCAATCAGTGACGTTCCATCAGAGTTCTTCCCTGAACAAGTTTGTGAGTTCCACTACACTGCAACTGTCAATGACGACAACAATGCCATTACCGAGACAATTGGCCGTGGAAGACATTCTGTCTTTATCACCGCAGAACTTCTCAGTGTTGCACTAAGGTTACCTATTTTTGAACCCTTTTCTGAACTTCTTTCTATTAAACGATGTCGACGATTATTTGATCAACTGGGATATGATCACTCAAAGGCTGGTGCTCAATCAGCTCTTATTTTGCACCAATGTATGACCCCAGGATGGAAATTCTTCACCGGTGCTCTGTGCAAGTGTGTGGGTCACAAGTCTCGAAGTGGTGATCAATTGAGTAATTATTAGAAACAAGTCGTCTGCTCACTTCTTCTCAACAAAAGACTTGATTATGGGGCCCTATTCTTTGATCAACTTGTTCAGCTTCTTCGTGCAAATGTACGCGCTGATCATGTTCCGTTTCCACGCTGGATTGCTCTTGTGTTCGACAAATTTTTCGCTGCAGACTACTTCTCACATTCTGGAAATCCCATCCAATGCCCTCACATGTCTGTTCGCATGTATCAAGATGATCCCCTGGATACTGAGATCGGAATCTCTGATAGGATGAGAGAATGGATTGCAAATCCATACACTGTTCCTTCTCTCACCGCTGACACTGATGAAGGAGGCGTTGATGGTAACCAAGTAGATCATGCCGGTCAAGAGGATGAACCACATGATGGTGGTCATTTCTCTCCTCAACTTTCTCATCATATCGTCTCGGTTGCTGATGTTCCCTCAGCTCAAAAGGATTCACTGAGTCAGGGGGAGCAACAATTTCAGGAGGAGCAACCATCCCAGGGGGAGCATCCATCTCAGGGGGAGAATCCACCCCAAGAGGACCAATATTCTCCGGTAATGCCTCCTAGCTCTCCAGCAGCTCCAGCTACTTCATTTGTTCAAATTCCGGCCTCAGCATTTACTGAACTTCTGACACTGACTCGGGACATGAGTCAGCGTCTTCTTCGCATTGAGGCTGATGTTCATCAGCTAAAGGAGGTTCTCCTGCATACTCCTCCCTCTAGTCCCCAATCTGATGATGCTCAAAAAGGGGGAGATACTGATGATGATGCTGATGCTGATGATAATGCTGATAATGAACCGAATGAGAGAGACACCGAACCTGTTGACAACACCACTGTTCAGCCTGAGTCACCAAAGCCAATGCATGAGTATTTATCAAATAATAACATAATGAGTCGCCAACACCACTGATGATGATGCTGATGCTGATGATAATGCTGATAATAAACCGAATGAGAGAGACACCGAACCTGTTGACAACACCACTGTTCAGCCTGAGTCACCAAAGCCAATGCAAGAGTCTGACTCTGCGGGGCATAATAGTCCAGCAGCTACTGAAAAGCTGGTTGAAGATAGTGAGCATGATGAAGAGCATGATGAACCAGATGATGAATGTCAAATACTGGATATGAACTTCATTAATCCTCTTATTCCAGTTCAAGAAGAAAGTTCAGATGACCTTGATAATGAATCTCAAAGTCCAGACATGAAATCAGTCGATCCTGTTGCTGATCCCATTATTCCAGTCCAAGGAGAAGATTCAGACATTGCTAGTGAAGAATCTCATCCGCTATCTCGAAAGCGTAAGGTAGCAGATACTGACTTGGCTCATTCTCAAACTGATACTTCTCTGCCTGGGAAGAAACCCAAGTCCATAGTCAGTATATCAAATCTTGTGGCTGAATGGAACATGTCTCCTCATCAAGTTAAGTAAATTCTTGATGAAGCTAATCAAGCTCAGCTTCTAAAGAACATTGCTCAAGCTGATGAATCTCTTATTCAGCACAAACTTCAGGCCAAAGGATCTTTTGAAGCTCAGATGCAGAAATTCCTAGAGTTTCATTCCAAATCTCAATCTTCTCAACCTTCTCCTAGCAGTATTAAGCCTAAGACTGACAGTGTTCTTGACCGGATCGATCGAAAGAGGTTTGAAGACGTTCTTAATCGATGAATGTGTGGTGATAAGATCATCAAAGTCAAAGCTTCCAAACCACGAAATGAGAAAATCCTTACGTTGCTGATCGCTCGTCAAGGTCCTCAGCATTCATACACTGAAGTTGTCAAGAGGGATGAGCTAATCAGGTATGGATATTCTAAATGGATGGAACTACTTGAATTAGCATCCAAGCAAACCTCAACTTACTCTTCGGAACTGACTTGTGCTCTTCATTTGCTGATCAAGAAAGTTCAGCGTTTGGATCTTGTTCCCAAAGAACGACCTCAACATCAAGGCCAAAGGTTATCTGTTCCTAGAACTCGAAGAACCAAGTTTCAAGTTGATGGTGAAGATGTATTGGTTTTAGACTTTGGTGCTGGTGGAATAAACAATTCTCTTCCTATCAGTGTTGATCCAGTTCAGCATAAGTTTATCTCAGCTCCTGAACACGGGATGTTCTATCTTGATAAAAACAGAAAGATGTGTTTTCAGCGAACTGCTGAGATTCCAAAGGCTCCAACCACTCATCTCGTTGGCTTAAGGCAAATGTGCATGAGTCATCAAGATCTCTCCGGAGAGTTTCACATCCTTATTGCCATGGAGCTGCTGAACAGAAGATAGGAGTTGTTGGATAGTCCTTACTGGCCAGTTAAAATAGAAGCTGAAGCTGAGTATGAAGAGTTCCTGTCCAGAGGTGTTTTAATTTAGTTTGTTTTGAACATCATCATATTGGGGGAGATTGTAAGGTCAAACCTTGAAATATGATAATGTTTAAAACAGACTCAGCATCAGCGTATATCTCAGTATCAACATCAGCGTGTTAGCAGCTCAGTTTGTAATAGTTTAGTTTATTCAGTGCGTTGTAACAGATCTTGTATTTATCTTGTTTCCATAGTTAGCCTAATTAGTTAGCTGGCGTATCCCTGATTTGTAGGGATTGTCTAGAATAGCAGTATATAATCTTTTGTATAGGTTTGTGAATGGTTACGCCTTTCACAAACCCTAATCGCTGCTTTGTGCACACGATAATCTCTTTGTGAGATTATCTTTCTTAGTGAAAGCTTTTCTTCGTGAATTCCTCTTATTCTTATTTTCAGTTATTGTTTGATAAATTGATTAATCTAAAGGCCTCTTCAATATATATATATATATATATATATATATATATATATATATATATATATATATATATATATATATCCCTATTCTAATAAAAGAGTAGTTTTTAATCTCCTTTTGATATGTGTCACCATATTAAGCCTCATAATTAATGCAAATGTTATTTTTCTTTTGTCATGTTTCACCTTATTATGTCTTATAACTAATGCATACCATTTGTCAACATATTGGTTCTCAATTTCAAATTTCAAATTTTAAATTTCCCATTCACATTACATTAAATTAACAACATTACAATAAAAATTAAAATAAAATTAATATAAATTATAAAGTGATATAATTTTACATATTTATTTAAATCAATGATTATAATTTTATATAACTAAAAAACCTCTTAATTTATAATTTATTTAAAATAAGTTATTAATAATTTTAAATTTTAACTATTAAAGTTTAATTAATTTTATAACCGTGGTTCTTACGGGTTATAAACTAGTATATATATATATATATATATAGTCACACACACAGACACTAGATGTATGCCTGCACAAAGCAGCGATGACAAATAGTTTTTTTGGCGAATAGATTTCTTACAGAAATATAATTATTAGATTTTGTTATTTGTTATTATGTAATAAGAAAAATTACCACTTTTAATTAAAATATTTATGTTTACAACTTATATTTATATTGTATGTTTGTATATTTGATGTAAATTAATTATTGTAAATTAACTTATATTGATGAATTTAATATTTTAAAATTGTTATTTTACTACAAATTAATTTTTTAATTATCTTTTTTGATTCAGATCTTCAAAATTTTGGTAAGCATTAATGATTTTGTTATGTATAATTGATTTGTAAAAAAAAGTTTTTATGTTATGTCTCTTAAAATTCAAAATATGACTAATATATTTTATATATAGCATAATATATATATATATATATATATATATATATATATATATATATATATATATATATATATATATATAATCGTTAAAGTTTATTATTGATGTATGTGCGTGAATATAATGATGACTTTACCTATTTTGCTATTAAGCTTATAGTAATCAATATCAATTTGTTTAGCTGCACTAACCTTGTTATGATAACTTCAATACGTTCTACTTTTTCATACTTTTATGACAAACAAACTTTAGAATGTATATTGATAGCACATTGAAAAGTCGTAGCGTGTAAAGACCTAGTATAAAAGTCATATTTCATAAATTAGATGATGACATGCTTCCCATTTGCATTAAAAAAAACCCCCATTTATATTCCACAAATATAAGAATTATAATAATTAAATCGTTTCATAAAATTTATAGCATCTCTCGTAACAAGAACCTGTATGTGAAGCAATCGCTCCATACTCGTGGATGTTCTTGTTTTACATATATCAGACATCATCTATATAACATAATGACTAATCTAATTATTTTTGGAGTTTGTTACTGTTGTTGTTGTCATAAGTTTTAATTTTTAAGTTTCTTGTCATGGTCCAAAAATCATGTTTGGATAAGAATCTTGATCTATAAGTTTTATCAATCTTGTTATTATCAAAATATACTTAAAGATATTTTCTTGTCAATTTCTTTTTTTCTTTTAAAAAGATTTTTATTTGAATAGTCTTGAGTGTTAATGTGTTATGGATATTGGAGCATCAAAATCATTGTTGGTGTGCGTGATATTCTTCCATGCCTCTTCCAAGAGATGCAATTTTATTTTAAAGAAGGGGGCAAAAGGCAAAAAGGGCAAAGTGGGCATAAAGCTAAATGGGAGTTACCAACGATGCCCTTTAAAAAGCAAAAGGTTACCACCCGTGCCTGCACACATTCTCTCTTCCACTTTAATTTTTGTATACTTTTTGGTCAATTTATGGTTATATACAGGGGCATATTCGTCAATATAAAGATTATAACCACTTTGTTTTACCTTTATACCCTTCAAGTCTTTTTTTTTTCGCAATAAACAGAAGTAACATAATGTTTGAGAATAGTTTTATATTCGATTGTGAAGAAAAAGACATAAGGTAAGGGCTAGATTGTGATGGAAATTTTAAATATACGATATGTAAGAGAATGGAGAATGTCAAACCAAAAATCCACTCATAAGTCACAAGTGACAATGAATTTTGGAACTTTCCATGTATTGATTCGGTTTCATAATAATTTTAAAAAAGATTTAGTCCTAACAATCACTTTCAATCATTGTTCACATATATTCCACATAATTGGTCGTTGTTATGGTTAAAGACATAAATAAGAAGAGTTGACTGGTAAACATTAAAATTTATAAGCTAACCAATTAGAATTAATCACCTCAACCGATAGACTATTATCTCGGAGTCACTTTCTAACTAATTTTCGGAGATAAATGACTTAAATGAAAAATATTAAAATTATTAGTGATTTTTTTGGAAAATTTTGTAATCTCTTAACAGTGAAAGTTTAAAAAAAATTTAAGAGATTTTTTAAAAAAAAAAATTCTAAATTATTTATCTGGTTATAATAGGTTTTTATTACTCACGTGTTCTCGCTTTGATATATTAATAATAATTTAAAATTGCCAAATTATAAATATCATTATAAATTTATAAAGTGACCATGATAAGTTCGTACTTCTCAACTCATCGTTCTTTTTGCTTTTCTGTGGTGGACATAATGACAGATAATCTAATTAGTTAATTCACAATTACATAAGATCTTTAAGGGTTTTAGGAATAAACTTTAAATATAGTAGTTTTGATGAAGAGAAGATGATTAAATGGAAAAACAAAAAACATAGATGAATATAAAAAGAAGAAACTAGAGCTCCGACTTAGTCGGCGTTGGTAGGTTCCAGTGACATTGACTACGCTGGATCTTCTGGGGAGATGAGGGAGCGAGGCCAGCAGAGATCAAGAACTTGACACATCGGCTGTAGTAGCGTCAGGTGGACTAGGTGACGACCTCGGTTAGAGCTTGAGGCGGCGGCGGTGACGACTTTAATGGCTAAAACTAGATGCAAAGGTTGTAGGGAAGAACTTATGGTCTGGCGAAGTCGGTGCCGAAAGACATCGGAGAAGGCAGTAGAGGCTACGGCGACTGTTTATATTAAAAATGTTTTTTTTAGGAGGAAAAAGA